CTGATGGGCTGGCACCAGCCGCCTGGGCACAGGGACCCTGGGACGGGGCCTGCGGAGTCGTCTGATGGGCTGGCACCAGCCGCCTGGGCACAGTGTTACCCTGATGGTATAGGGGAAACTGAGGCAGAGGGAAAGGGAGGGACTCGCCTGGGTCACACATCAGCAGAGCTAGGTAGGGGCTAGGACTTGAGGCCCTCACCCCCAGGCCTGTGCTGCAGCTACTAGACCCCAGGGCTCTCAGGGCCACAGAGCCACTGCCTGGCCCATGGGCCATCATTGCAGGGCAGCGAAGTGGCTGGGGCTTGGCCAGCCCCCATGGGTGTGTGTTGGGAGCCATGTGGGGAGGTGGGGCTGGGTTGGGGGGGAGGGGCTGCAGGGTTGCGGGGGGGCTGCGTGGGGAGGTGTGGCTGGGTCGAGGGGTTGGGGGCTGCAGGGGTGAGGCCGGGCGGCTGCTAGAGACTCACGGACGTTCTGGGAGCTGCTCGCTCCGCCCCCGCTGCTCAGGTCAGCCCCTGCTGCCTTCCCCAGGGCCCGGAGCCCAACAGGGTCCCAGCAGCTGCTGGGCTCTAAGGCGCTTGCTGCCAAGGGAGCTGAGCGGCAGGGGCTGCGGGGGCACCGGCCTCGGCCCCACAGGGAACATCAGGGGCGGGGGTGAGGGGCACCACTGCCCAGGGGCAGACTTACACTCCCCCGCTCCGCTAAGGGCCCCCCCGGCCCATGGAAAGAGGACGCTGTGGGCGCCCGGCTGCGGCCCACCCCTGTGGACACTTCTATTAAGACAATGACCTTCCCAGCCCGTGTGGCCGGCCGGGCTCCCCCGAAACGGGGCCCGATGCCAGGCCGCGGCTGCTGACCGGAGTTGCCCGGGCCAAGCGCAGAGCCCTGCTGGGGTGGGGCAGCGCCCAGCCTTACCTTGCATCTTAGCGGCAGCCACGACGTCGCCGGCAGACACGCTGGACACGTTGACCAGGTAGACGGGGCAGTGAGTCTGAGAGGGACAGCGCAGGTCTCAGCACTGGTGCTGGCGCCCCCAGCCAGTGCGCACCGCCTCCCGCCTGCCCGCCCAGCTCACGCCAAGGGCTCCGGTCCCTGGGCAGGTGAGAGCCCAGCTCACCTCTGCCCCTGCGCCCCCCAGCAGAGCACAGCAATCCCTGGGGAGCCATGCAGGGGGCATGCGGTGCTGGGAGCCACCATGGCCCTGCGCCCACAGACCACGTCACCAAGGGCTCCAGGGATGGACAGGCCGTCTCTAGGGTGCGGGCAGGGGCTCCAGGGACGGGCACGCCGTGTCCGCGGGGCAGGGGGCCAGGGGTGGGCAGGCCGTGTCCGTGGGGCAGGCAGCCCAGTGTAGGCAGGGTACCAAAACACACAAGTAACCCCTCCCCCCCGCCAGACAGGATCCTGCCTTCTCCCAAAAATCCCCGCCAAGGCCTCCCACTGCTGCCCCTGGACTGATCCCCATCTCCCTGCTCCCACCCTCGGGCAGTGCCCATCCCCTGCCCGGGCCTGGCGGGGGGCTCTGACTGTGCCCAGCCTGGGGGCGCTGTATGTGCGTGTGCAGAGACTCGGGGCAGGGGGTAGGGGGGCTCTGATTGTGCCCAGCCTGGGGGCGCTGTTTGTGTGCGCGTGGGGAGACTCGGGGCGGGGG